AAAATGCTCAATATAATTAATAACTAGGATTGATACCTCTTACAAAAGCAATGTGTAACCATAAGGATAACCTTGAGGATTTTAAATATTTAAGGACTGGAGAACCCTCTAATTCATGAGACATTATCTGCTCTTGCCAAGTGCCAACATTGTAAGAGTAGGATTAAAATATAATCTTCTAACTGTTGGTACTTCCGAAAGGATTTACAGTCATGATGTGATTGGTAGCTCCATCACCCCCAAATTCAGTTTTCAAATAAAACCCTATGGAAATTTTGTAGCTAGGTGACCAAGAATTTGATAATCCAATATTACTTAATACAACATTTGACTGCTTATGATACATTGCATATCTTGCTATATAAAATTCATTCTAGAAAATACTTACGAATGCATATCATTCTATCTAAGTCCAAAATTTCATAATAGTCATGGCACATCTTGGGGCCAAATTACTCATGAACCCAGTATAATGATTATTAAGAAATTTAGCTTCTAAGAGTCACGATGTTTTAGTCATTTGCTAAATCATAGGTCCAGATCTTTCCTTAAGTGTTGTTAAAAGTTAAGTAAAGCGCTGGCTTTAAGCCCATCATTTTCCAAACCACTCTTGTCGTAGTAAACATATCATTAGCAGTTATGGCATAGTCTGATAAAAAATAGAGATACTTGACACTAAGGCCTGTATTTCCAAAGTTGTTGTCCTTGCAAAGATAAACCTCAGCATCAGGTTCATTATTCACCATTGTAAAACTAGGACATGTAATTTGATTCTTTTAAACAGATCCAATAAAGTGTTTAGCACTATAGTCAGTTATAGCTGCAAAATGTTCTCTTTAAGGAAGCTAAGCATTCTTAACAGAGACTCCGATTTAATACCAAATTCTAGGTTATAAATCAACATCATAGTTATTTGTCAGAACAAATAAGCAATTATTCTACCTCAATTCGAGTTGTCGTTGTAATGTTGGTAAAGTAGTTTATGCTTTTAAATATAGAAAGTTTGAATCTTAAGGAGTCGCGCCACACAGTATATTCTAGTCTTGTAAAATTTGAAGCTTAAACCAGAAGCCTATACTATAGTCCTATAGAGGCATGCTCTGATTCACTTTCATTAATAATGGGCTCTGCTCATTCGTTACTTTGACAGCATTGAAAATGTCATAATGACAAAATTAACCTGAAAAGTAACTTCCGTATTTGCATTCGTTCAGCTTTTCAAACTATGCAATGGGTATGTTTGGTATTAAGTAATCAGTTATCAGATATAAAGATGTTGGAAAACTCCAATGATAAAAGATCTCATCTTAATTGTTCGCTTCAAGTCTCCAATAGTCAAGTAAATTAGTTTGACCTTATAATGTAATACTAAATATTTATTTTTCATACTTTATGGATTGAGAATGGCTTTCTTAAAAAAATGCTTA